AGGATAGGCCTGAGACATGCCAGGCAGTCAGATGGGGGAGGGTAGAGAAAACTAGGCAAGGAAGATGGTAAACTTGGCTTCTTCCTCTCCCAGAACAAAAGCCTTGACAACTCCCCTCCTCCCACTCCCTGCAGACAGGGCCCCCTGATAAGGACTACCCTGATGGGGTCAAGGCCAATCAGGAGTCACAGCTGTGGGCCAACTAACCATCCCGTGCTCGTTCAAGGGAATCAACACTAAATTAAGGGAGAGAGAACCTTCAAAGACTATTTTTTTTAACAGTCCTCAAGTAGAGCGGATTTTTCAGGTTCCTCAACCCCCTCTACTTTGTCTAGAATCCCTTTCCTTGTCTCTCTGCTGGGCGTGTCCTCATTTGTCTCAAATTATTTACCTCATGCTCAGGCTTCTGTTATGCCCAGATCATAGAGTCCCGCCAAAACCATCTAGGAGACCGAATCCTGTATGGAAAAGCAAAGAGCCTTTGATTTTAATTAAGTTTGAGCTCAGACTCTCCAGGAGTTCAACGTATTGGCATGGTCAGAGAGCTCCAAGCTCAGCTGGGGTTGGGTTTTTATAAAAGCAAAGGTTGGGGTGAGGGATTTCTAAGGTTCAGAACCCCTGATTGGCTGACGTGTGCGTAGGGGTGTCCCAGTGAAAAACGAAGGGTGTGTGCTGGCAGGGGATCCTATCTACAATGGTTGGGACCTTAGGAATCTCCTTTGGGTGGTCTGTTCCCGGGTGGTGCCTGGGTGGTCTCAGTTCACGGTCTATCTTGGAACCAGGTATTGCCTTTCGGTAGACTACTGAGACTCAGGCCTCTAGTGAGCTTGTCATGGTCATGCAGCGTCCACTGCACCCATAGAGATAGTGGGGGACCTTTGAGGTGGTAGGTAGGGCTTTCCCACAAGAGAGGGCATCTTTCCACTTTGAGCAGAACAACCCTGCTTCACCGGGCCTCCTCATGTGTTCACAGACTCCACATCCTGTGTGCCATAGGTTCCCTCTAACCTTACCAATGCAACCTAACCATCACCACCTTTGCCCCACGAGGTCAGAGAGCGGTCTTCTGACACCACCCACCTCACTGGCCTTCCCTCACCCACTTTCAATCTTTCCAAATCTTCTGGTTCACAATATTTTGGGGACCTGACTTCTTTGCTCTAGGAGACTATTTAACCACCCCTCCTTATTCGACCCTAGCGCTGCTACCACCTGTAGGTTCTGTTGACACCTGTCATGGCCGTTAACGCTAGTGACTTTTGCCTGGCTTGTGGGTCATCCACCTCATCCCTCTTCTTGCCGCGCTAGGCATTCTTCAGAACTCAGAACTGAAGCAGCAGGACTGAGGGCTTCTCTGCATCAGTTAACCTCTCTGCATCAGTTAACCACTCTGCTCTCCAGCTCTCAGAAAATGTTAAAGATCTTTCTGATTAGCTTGGCATCCTTCAAGGTCAACTCAACTCTTTGATACTCCAAAACTGAAGAACCCTGGATCTCCTGATCCCTGCTAATGTTGGGATTTGTGCCTTCTTCCAGGAACGGTACCACTTCAGCACCAACAACTCCAAACTGATTTGAGATGAGGCCAGGCTAAAAAGTTTAATGAGTTGCCTCCTCTGGTTGGGCTCCTGATTCCCTCCCACCCTGGCTCCTCCCCTCCATCCCTTCTTTTCCCTTTATTATTCTTATATTTATGATTTTAACCTGTTTTTTTAAATGTTTCACAGACGTTCCTCCTGAACAGACCACTGCTATCCACTGTAGACTGAGACTGCTTGTTCGTTTCTCAGTCACCCAGACCCAAGATAATCACATAGAAACTATATTAAAACACTGCTCAGCCTATCAGCTCAGGCTTCTTAATTAACTTACTCTTACATCTTAAATTAAGACAACACTTCTCTTAAAGTCACTCCAGAAAGCACCATGCATGCCCGGCCCCAACACACACACACACACACACACACACACACACACACACACACCACTTTATCTATTCTCAGGGTCTGGAATGAAAGGATAATGACATAAAACAAAGAACCTCGGGCAAGTTGAGAAACTCCTGGCAAGGAAGTGTGCCCATCCGTAGGAACATCTGCCAACACTTACCATCCTGAAACTGCAGGGAACAAATCTACAGATGGAACTTTCCACCTCCAGAACAAGTCCCTTTTCTCCCCCCTTTTAAAATTCTCACTCTTGCTGTGCCTAGCTGCAGTGTCTCCCACAGTGAGACCACTGCTCTTCCCTCATCTGATAAAGGACAGCCTGTGCTCCTGGGGACTCCTCTGCCATCAATTTTCACATCCCCTGGGGTGGTTCTGAGCTAACTCCCCAAGTTGCTTTTGATTATGGTATTTTATCACAGAAAACAACTAGGACAATGTCACCTATGTATTAATACCAGTGCTTAAGTATATGTTAAAATCTCTTAATAAATTCTCACTCTGGGCTAGCGATGTAGCTCCATGCTTGCCTGGTGTTGGTGGAGCCCTGGGTTTGATTTTCAAGAAAAGAGAAAAAGGAAAAGGGTAGGGAAAGGAAAGTATAAAATCTGACTCTGCTCCATGTTGGCTCGTGTTGAAACTCTCCTCTGCCGTGAAGTCGGGGATCCTGGCTTCCCATGAGAAGAGGTCTCGGGAAAGAGCTCGTGAGGCTGCCGTAGGTGACAGCGTGGAACTGTGTCTAGTTTCCACTCCCACTGCCACTCCAAACTAGACCCTGGCCTGCCTCCGTCACAGTTTAATGAGACCGGCTGTATTATTTGGGCTCCGTGTGAAACAAAAGCGCAAGACTCTTTGTTCAGAAATTATGAAGAAGGTCAAGGCCACAGCGGAGCATCATGCTGGGGAGCTGGCCCTCAGGTGACAATGGCTGACGTGACGTTGATGGGGCTGACCACCGGCTGACTCTAGGTAATCTCTTCCTGTTTCCTCTGACTCACGTGTTTCTCACAGAGTTGAGATCACAGGAAGTTATCATCTCTAGCCCAGGGACATCAAAAGAGTTAAAATTGATTTTGTCCCTGATCTCTTGCTATTCCAGGCACAATGGCAGCCTTCCCCCCCCCCTTGTGATAACACGGCTTGGCCTATACAGTACGGCTCAATAACTGTTACAGAGGCATCGTGTTCTTGATTAGCCCAGAATCAGCCTCTCTTTAAAGAGTCTGGTTCTTGGTTCATCGAACCAGGCAAGGCAATGCATGCCTCCCAATGGGAACCCATCCCAGAACTTGGAAAGCTGAGGCAGGGGGGTGGCTGAAAGTTACAAGTCATCTGGTCTGACTTAGTGAGACTTTGTCCCAAAACAAAGCAAAACTATCCCCCCAAAAGTCCTGTCTAGAAGTTGAATGTCTTCTTTTATTTCCCAACCTTTGGGTCTTCGGCCTTCAACCCCTTATCACTCACTCCCACCTCAAGGAGGGTACCATGCACTTCTCTGCTTTGCTTCCAATAATAGATGAGCTCTCAGCTGTGCTTGGCAGCTGACGCGCCTACTCCCGATAGCCAAGAGATGTTACGTCCTCTCCCAGCCTCCTCCCTGCTCTGCAGCTTCTGGCAGCCCCAGTTTCCTTTGTCAAAATCAACGGCTTCAAGTCCCACATGTTGGCAAGGGAGACACTGTATTGTCTTTTTGTGCCTGGATTTTATATGTGTTCCATGCTCATTCATGGTGGGGCAATTTGCGGGGTCTCGTTGCTTTTCGGGATGAATAGCATTCAATTATGTATCTATGCCGCATTTTCTTTGCTCATTCTTCCGTGAATGGACAGAGACACAGGGCATAGCTAGGTAGGAAAATAGCGTCTAAGGCTCTACATCGTTGAATTATCATAGCTTCTGACGATAATTGAACATTTCAAAATAGCTCAGAGAGAGGACTGTTGAATGTTCCTAATACGAAGAAATGAAAAAATGTCCGAGAAATTGTCAAGCTTTATCTGAGTGGAGATCCCTAAGAGGATGGGCTACTGCTCAGGCCACCAGTGATAATGTTAGGTTGCTTCTCTCTCTCTCTCTCTCTCTCTCTCTCTCTCACACACACACACACACACACACACACACACACCACCACCACCACCAAGGTGTGTATGGGAGGGGTGAGCTATTGGGAGAGAGAATTACATTAGTCTCAGGGTGTCCATAGGTCTAGAAAGGAGCTAGACCACAGGGGGATCAGGTGGTTAGGTAAGAGCCAGCATTCCTCAGGAACCTGTGAAACTGGCTTCCATCTGCCAAAAGGAGTCATTTCCCTTACCTCTGGCAGAGGGACATTTGGCTACCTAGGACACCTATCTGCATATCAAAGCCCATGCTGGCCTCCAGGCTCCCTTGGTACCTGTGATACACTTCAGAGTCTATGCTGGCATCCTGTCCTTCTTTCCTCTCCCCCCACCCCAGCGACTGGTCCTCCTTATAATCCACAAGACCTGACCACCCGCTCACTGTTGCTCTTTCACCGTGTTCTGATCTCCACGTCTTACTTGCGCTATCTCTCTCTCTCTCTCTCTCTCTCTCTCTCTCTCTCTCTCTCTCTCTGCTATTCTCTCCCACTCTCCTAGCCCTGGTCATGTCCAATCGGCTTTGCTCTGGACTCTTCCAGATGCCTCTGGATATTTTCTCTCTTATGCACAATGAGAACCTAAGACTGGAGCGGTCATGCTGGCAATCTTTACCATGCACCCTCGCAGACAGGTTGGTGTCTCCCTTCCCCTGGGAAGTGGGCTCCAAACTTGGGAGATTTTGCCTGACAGCACCTTGGGACCATCCTTACAGGGAAGTGCCAAGGAGGAAGCCTCCAGGGTTCAGAAGGTGGGGCCGGAGAATGGAGTGGCATGATGTCAATCAAACTCACATTCGGGGTGTGGGTTTAGACGGGAGCAGAAGTCAATCTCATGGCAACAGCCCCCCTCAGACCCACACAGCCACTGTGCAGACTGCCCTGGGGGTGCTGGGGTGCTGTCAAAGACTGCCTGTCGGTCTCTTTGGCCTCGGCGGCAGAAGCAAGATGACAAAAAGAACGTCATCCTTCGAAAAGCGTCGCAACAAGACGCACACGTTGTGCCGCCGCTGTGGCTCTAAGGCCTACCACCTTCAGACGTCTACCTGTGGCAAATGCGGTTACCCTGCCAAGTGCGAGAGAAAGTATAACTGGAGTGTCAAGGCTAAGAGACGAAACACTACCGGGACCGGGCGGATGAGGCACCTAAAAATTGTCTACCGAAGATTCAGACATGGATTCCGTGAAGGGACAACCCCTAAACCCAAGAGGGCAGCTGTTGCAGCATCCAGTTCATCTTGAGGATTTCAATCTGTCATAAAATAAATGTTCTGGTTTCAAAAAAAAAAAAAAAAGACTGCCTGTCACTCCAGGCACGTAGGACTCCGAAGGAGGAAGGTATTGGAGATTCACACACAGGGTCTTCAGGGGGTCAGTGTGTGTGTGTGTGTGTGTGTGTGTGTGTGATTATTAGCACATGTGGAAGTCAGAGATTCAGGAGTTGGTTCTCTCCATTCCCCAAACAAGTTTGTCTCCCTTAGGATTTCTATTGCTGTGATAAAACACTATAACCCAAAGCAACTTGAGCAGGTTTATTTCAGCTTACAGTTCCAAATAACAGTCCATCATCCCTGAGAGACGACAGGGCAGGAACTCAAACAGGAGCGAATGCAGAGGCCATGGAGGAGTGCTGCTTTGGGGCTTGCTCCTCATGGCTTGCTCAGTCTGCTTTCTTGTACAACCAGGGCCACTTACCCAGGGGTGGCACCACCCACAGTGAGCTGGGCCCTCAAATATCAATCATTACTTAAGAAAATGCCCTACAGATTTGCCTACAGGAAATCCAGTGTGAGCGTGTTTTTGTTTTGTTTTGTTGTGGGTTTTTTTTTTACTTTGTTTTTTTTTCTCTCTCTCTCTGAGGTACCCTCCCTCCAGATGACCCTAATTTGTGTGAAGCTGACATGAAACCAGCCAGCATTGGACTCCAGGGAGGGAAGTCAAGTCCTTAGGCTTAGCAGCAAGGGTCTAATCACCAAGACATCTCATGGGCCCTACTCAGGAACCTTTAGAATGACTCTGTCCCTGATCATGTTTGTTGTTTTCTAAGATACAATTGCCCAAAGGATGATGACATGCACGTGGTTTAATGATTAAGTAAAGTTTAACTTTTCAGTTAAAGAGAAAAGTTAAGTAAAAAAAAAAAATATCTGAGTTGGTTTAGCTGTTTTTCTAATCTTTAGGAATGTCCTGCTTTAGCTGGAATTGTTAGGTGGTTTTCCGAGGTGTACGCTTTATTTAGCCTTGAAAGAGCAATACTGTAGCAGGGTAACACTCAAAGAACAGATGTTCTCCACCTGAGCGGTTTGGTGCTTTAACAACTTTGTGATGTCTAGGAAAACAATGGTCCTATCTCTGAAGGCAACTGTGGCTCTATCAGCTGTGTTGAGATATCTTGACGCTACAACAGCATGAAAAGACTTTTTTCCCTTTTCACGGCTCCTCCATTTCCCCTCTGTTTCTAACCTGCCTCACGGCCTTTTTGACAGAACTCGTTTCTGTATCCCAATGCTGTTCTGCCTCAACATGCCCGTGCCTCAGCCTCTGGAGAGCTACACATACTTCACTCTCTGGCGTCCCTCTTGCAGCCAAATGCTCCCCTGAAGATTGACGCTGTCTGGCCCTGCTTCGGTTGGATAGCTTCTTCTTCAAATCTCCTCCCTGTGCCCATTTTACAGCTGGCGAATGAGACCCAGAAGCACCTCGGCAAGGCCAAGGATGGAAAGAGTTGATCTTGGCTTGAGACCCTGGCATCCCGGGGAAGAAACACCCTCAGAGCTATTAGTCGTGGGAGGCGTCTCAGCCAGGAGCCTGGGGCAAGGATGTTGGACCAGCACCCGAAACCGGAAGCTGCCCGCAGCCTCCCCTCGGGCTTTCAGACATAACTGTTTCTGAAGAAAGAAGCGCTGGGGGCAGGGAGAGGAGCTGGGGACAGGGAGCCACAAACGGGGCTCTTTGTAGTGGAACGGGCATAAATACACATTTTGCCACCAATGACAACTTTCTCATTAGCTGGCCAGCCGGCACTCCGTGCCAGTAGGCCTTGGAGCCAATCTGCAACGGGCTGACTGGTGCAGAACACGGGCACTGAGCGTCCCCTCCCAGGGTAACAACGACAACCAGACTTGGGAGCAGATGCACACTGCCAGGGAGGCCAGATTCTGAGGCCTTGGCAGGGACTGCCACAGCTGCCCATCTCGAGCAAGGCTGTCAAAAAGGAGGTGAGGCGTGGGAGCCCGGCCTTTGGGGGGCCACCACAGGCCCCAGCCAGGCCGCCATCAGGTCTTGGCAGGCAGAGAAAGTGTTTGTGCTCTTGGGGAGAGTGAAGAGAAAGGCGGCAGGGTCCAGCAGGGCAACTCCTGCCAGTCTTGGGCGGGGGGGTGAAGAACAAAACCCTTTTCTTCCCAGATCCTCGAACCCTCTGCCAGGCCCAGCCATTGGTTGGTTCTTTCCCAGCCCTCTTGGCCAGAGAGGAGTGACAGAGAGCTGCCCCGGGCTCATTGATGAGAGGCCCTGAATGGATGCACCCATGGGTCCTGGCCAAGGGCTCCCCACTTGGGAGAGTGGGGTACCAGTTTTGCATTCAGAAAGACTAGCATTCACCACCAGCACTTTTAGAACAATGGCCGGGGTGGGGGGCAGCAAAAAGGCCAGGTGCAGACCACAGGGGCATGCACCACCATTCTTGGAGGGGGGGGGTCATTGTACACACTTGCAGGCCTATGCATAAATTGTCTCTGTTTGGATTTCCTCCCCAAAGGCCCACGGGGTCACTGGGCAGCAGAGGAACAGGGGAGGGGTTGAGTCCTAGCTAAGCACAGTCCAGGTTCAAATCAACCTCACTTTCCCCATCTGTCATACTGATGTGACGCCATCTTGTTACATTGACTCCGCTTTGCCTCAGTTTAGACAATTCTCCACCCTCCACTCCTCTCAACAGCCACTTCTACTTTGGCAACATAGTTGGGGTTTTCCATGACCCTGACCATGGTCCAGATGAACTAACCAAAATAAGTAATGTTTGGACAAGCTAAACGTAAACATAAATAACTGTTAAGGTATAAATAGAAACTGTCCTGTTGGGTCTGAAAGATCAGGTTACTCTGACCCTCATCTAAGATTTACACAGTTGTCTTCTGTATGGTTTTGTTTTTTGTTTTTGTTTTTGCCTTTAAAAACCCTGTATCCCCACCTTCAGCATCAAGTCTGAGATGTTAGCTCGCTCTCAGTCACCAGTCAAAAGTGAAGGACCCTGATTTGGCCTAATATCCTTGGCATGCTCTTAGGAGAATCATCTTTAGGATCCACGGGGACTGATTGGTTACCAAAATCTGAGGATACTCAGACCCCTTATATAAATGTGCAGTATTTCTATATATCATAGCAGCAGCTTCCTGTGTGAATGAGAAAAGAAAGAGAGAAAGAAAGAAAGAAAGAAAAAAAGAAAGAAGTAAAAAGGAAAAGCCATGACTGCTCCTAGGTGTGGTGGAGAAAGTTTATTGTAGGTGTCAAGTTGGGAGCGTAGGCCCCTGCCCCTGGTCTGGGCCTGGACTGGACTTCAAATCCCAGCAGGCCAGGTCCTGACCCCTCCCTGAGTCAGGACCCCTTTCCCCAGAGTATTTAAGTGATCTCCAAAAAAGGAACACGTGGTCTGCCTTTCTTCCTCCCCGGGGGTCGCATTCCCGTGGCTTACCGGTTTCCCCCTCAGAACACCCGAGAGCGCAGATCTCCCATTACCTGGATATTTCTTAATTTGGCTTGTTTTGATTTGGCTTGATTGGGAATTTTTGTGTCGTCAGGAAGCTAATATTAAGAAATATTCCTAACACATATTATAAGCACAGTCAGAGGCAGGGACATGTGGGAGAGTCCAGAGTGAACATGACCAGACTGAGCTGGGCCTTGTGGGGAGAGGGGAAGCAGAAGGAACTAGAACTGCAGCAGCCAAGAGGCCAAAGGTACAACAAAGAGGCAGGTAACCAAAATGTCTGGATTGCATAGGGAAGAACCTCTGGGGGAAGTACAGCCCAGCACCTGGGTATGCCAGCCATGCTCTGTAACCAGTAGGGACTGAGGGATGCTGGGAGAAAGAACCTGGAGGCCAGGTCCACTCTGGTGTGTTAAACAGGCACTTCGGCAATTTGTCCTGGGTTTGAAATGTAACACTGTGTAGTTGATTTGTAACCAAATACAATAGAAACACTATGTAAACAGTTGCTTCAATGTATCGTTTAGCAGACAATGACAGGAAAAGTCTGCAGGTGTCTGCCAGGAAAGGGACAGTGTTGATAGATCAGCAGTGCTCAGGCTGTGAATGAATGGATTAAGAAGGACCATGGTAGGGCATGCCTTTGATCCCTGAACCAGGGAGGCAGAGACAGGCGGACCTCTGTGAATTTGAGGTCTACAAAGCTAGGCTGTTACACAGAAAAAAAAAAACAAAAAACAAAACAAAAAAAAAACAACCATCTCTCTTGAAATTTGCGGGCAAATGGATGGACCTAGAAATCATATTGAGTGAGGTAACCTAGATCCAGAAAGACAAACATCCTATGTACTCCCTCATAAGTGGCTTTTAGACATAAAGCAAAGAAAAACCAGTCTACAGTTCATAACCCCAGAGAGCCTAGAAAACAAAGAGGACCAATAGAGACATACATGGATCTAATCTATATGGGAAGTAGAAAAAGACAAGATCTCCTGAGTAAACTGGGAGCGTGGGGGACCATGGAAGAGGGTAGGAGGGGAGGGAAGAGGAAAGGAGGGGAGTGGAGAAAAATATAGAGCTCAATAAAAACAATTTAAAAAATATACTACAACGTGGGGGAAAAAATTTCAGGTGTGCACTAAGAGAAGAAGGCTCCCTCTCTAATATTCCTTAACTTCTGGTTCTTCCACTAACATGTATTTGTCCCACCAGATTCATAATGGTTTAAGGTGTCACAGATTGCTCTTCTCTGGCAAAGGCAGTCACAGCTGCAGCTCTCGCTCCAAGAGGTCCTATTGCCCTCTCCAGACACCGGCTGCTTAAATGCCTCATGGAATTCAAGGCAGCCTGCTCCTCCCCCGTCTCCGTGGACTTCCACGGATTGCCAGTCTTCCAGTCTTCAAGACTTACAACTTTGCCTCATATTCAACGGGAAGCAGTCATGGGCAAAAACTCTACGGTCTATGTCACCTTTTTTACTGTGTTGAACTATAGCCCAAGGGACTAGGCTGCCTTTAAATAATATGCTCCACCACTGAATGTATAAATTCTACCTAAGATCCTGTA